CGTGACGTTTTAAATTCGCGCCATTATATTCTCATTTTTTTGCCCTCTTCGAAGTTTCCACGTTGTCCGTTTTCTGCTTCGGGGGTGCCGCACTGTTGTTGTCCCTCAGCTCCACACGTCTTTTCTTCATTTTCCAACACGCCAAGATACGATGTCCTGTAGTGCCGCAAAATTCGCACGTCTCATGTTTTGCTAGCCGTTGCTTCGCATCACCCTTGTCGTTCTCCATCGAGTCGGCACTCGTGGGTGGTGCCGATCGCCCCAAGCCACTATTTGGCTGGTTGCATTGTGTTTCGTAGTAGCTGTCAAAAGTAGCAGTACAAAGTTTAGAAACAGAAAGAGGGATTTCACTAGCAGCAGTTGGGATGCATATAGCAAACCCTAATTGGGTTGTACTCGCTAAAGAGCACCCCACTACAGGCTAGATAATAACATTCTGACACACCCCCATAGCCAAAGTGGGGTGTAATCAGCACAATGAGTAGGCATAGCAGGAGTTCACAATAATAAGCAAAGCTAGAGGTAATCACAGCGGGCAAGTGAGGAGGAGGAGGAACTGTGGAAGGAGAGAAGATGGGAGGCAACGACTGAAGCTGCAGAGGCACGGGCACAGGAGCGGCTGACTCAGTGGCTACCGAAGCAAGGGCGACGGACTACTGGAGTGACTGGCTCCGCGGCTAAGATGAGCGGCAGGAGCAACGGACCCACTGGCGACTGGTGCAACAAGCTCACTGGCTACCGAAGCAAGGGCGACAGACTACAGGCGCTGCAGGCGACACGACAGCTATCTCCACACAACCTCCTCCAACTGACCCACACCCTTGACACACACCCCCTGCTGAACCCCTAACTCCACTCCCACGTCACCCCCCTAGCGCCATTCCCCTCGGCTCCCACACCTCCACCCCCCTGAGCAGCAGCTGGAGCAGTGGGAGACGAACGAGGTGGGGAGAGGGAAGGGGAGTACCCACAGCGCGCACCCCAATGCTCGCCACCCCACACCCCCCACCACCGCGGAACGCACGGCGGCACGGGAGGAATGGGCAGCACAGGGGGGGGGGACGATACAGAAGGGGCCGCGCGTCTCTCCTAAGGGCGCCAAAACGGACAGGCAAGGGGGCGCGCGCGGCTCCCCAGGGCGCCGCGACGGACGGGCGGGGGACGCGCGCGGCTCCCCTGGGCGCCGCGACAAGAAGGGCGGGGGCCGCGCGTGCTCCCCAAGGCGCCGCGACGAGCAGGACGGGGGGCGCGCGCGGGTCCCCAAGGCCGCGCGACGGGCAAACGGGCCGCGCGCGGCCTGCAGGCCCGCGCACGGCCGGTAGGGCGACGCGACGGGAAGGGCGGGGGGCTGCGTGCGGGTCCCCCATGGTAGGAAACCGCCGCGCGCCTCGGGGCGCACGGCGGGCAGAAAACCGCCGCGCGCCCCGACCGCACGGCGGACAGAAAACCCTAAAACACGGCGGCAGGAAGAAGGCGTCGCATGCCACGGGGCGTGCAACAGACAGAGTAGCAGCGGAAGCAGTTAGGTGGTAGGCCCACCCACAGGATCGACCCAAGGGGGTCGACTTGCTCTGAAAGCATGTCAAAAGTAGCAGTACAAAGTTTGGAAACAGAAAGAGGGATTTCAATAGCAGCAGTTGGGATACATATAGCAAACCCTAATTGGGTTGTACCCGCTATAGAGCACCCCACTACAGGCTAGATAATAACATTCTGACAGTAGCTACTATTCAGCGCGTCGAACTGTTCAATCAGTGCTGCCCGAAACTGCGTCCACGTCCCTTCGCCTTGGACAAATTCGTTTTTTATCCACTGTAGAGCTGGGCCACGTAACAGTGTTGTTGCGAGCCGTATGCGCAATGCGTCTCGGGTCGGGCTCGTGCATCCAACGGCTTTGAAATAAAATTCGGGTTCAACAACGAATCGACGAACGTTGCTCCTTTTCAGTATAAAATCGAACACGTCTTGTTGTCTTAGCTTCACAGCTTCGAGGTTAACCGTAGCTGCTACCGTTGTCGCAGGTAAAATTGTCAGTGATGCCGTCGTCGCTGCTGCTGCTACTACGGCTACCGATTGGTTTGCAAGGAGTTTTTCGAGTCGTGGGAGCGCCGCACGTATCTGCTCATGCTCAGCACGTAACTCCGCGATTTTCTGTACTAGATTATCACTATTTCCCTCCATTTGGCAATTTACAGGAAGACGCGCGACAAAAATAAAGGAATTCTAGGTGCGGGTCGACTTACTGCGAGTCAAATCGAATGTAAAATCAACGAGCGCGAATTCTGTAGGTCGCGTAATTCTCCCCTAGTCGAAATTCGCGTCCAATCTGGACCGTTGAGGAGAATCTCGATCCGATGCTCCAAAATCCAGCTCTTTTGGGCGAAATGTTTAGGGCCGTTGAGATTCGAATCGATCTGACGGTCGAGATTCCAACGTTTCTGCCAACAGTCCTAAGGCGTGTTCGAAAACCGGATCAGGGGGGGGGGGACCTAGAATAATGCGCAGAACTGGCTTTACATCGACGCTTTCGTAGTCGCCCCCGCGATTTTTTAAGGCCGGTTTGAAGCGGTTGAAGACCTCGAGTATAAACCCGCTGTGATTACCAAGTGTGAGGATCTAGTTCAGGAAAGAGAAATCGATTAAATGATTCACCTGGGTACAAGGCGAGGCTATATATAGGCTCGACACAAAGGCAGCAACCCGGTGTCAGAGGTCCACTGGTGATCCCCGATTGATCCTAGGGAAGGGCTACAGGCATGTTAGCCTGGGGGGTTATGGGCGCACTGACCCGCTACTTAACAAGCCCTTTTATCCCAATGGTCTAGTGGTTGGGATTCTGACATGGTATCAGAGCGAATGTCTCGGGTTCGAATCCCGATGTATGCACTTCGGGCATCTCAGTGCGGGGGGGTGTCAGAGGTCCACTGGTGATCCCCGATTGATCCTAGGGAAGGGCTACAGGCATGTTGGCCTGGGGGGGTTATGGGCGCACTGACCCGCTACTTAACAAGCCCTTTTATCCCAATGGTCTAGTGGTTGGGATTCTGACACCCGGGTGTTACTAGAAGTTTACTAAACCGTAAACATCCTTCCTGAATTCGGTAGAAGGCAATTTGGTGGCAATTGAAAAGCCTAGAATTCGGTTCACTCAGCCTAGTTCGGAGCCTATAACTATAATAACTATAGTAGAAGCAACGAACCTAGGAAATCAAGCAAAATCATGCAAGAAAAAATAAGATAAGCTAGATGATGCGTAATAAACCATAATCAAGCAAGTAAAGTCTGTTGGATGCACGTCATTCTGAGTGCATGTCATCCTAACGTCCTGCCGAGTGCTCGTGCTATTTGTGCTTGCATGATTTGCATGAGCGTATGTCATTGTGCATGGCTGTTGGATATTATCATCTCTGTGTTTTTCTCCAAGTCTAAATGCTTGATCATGCAGGAGAAATCCAGAGCTTTCCAACGACACCAAGATCGCCTTATTCCGACCAAGATCGCCCAAGTTACAAGATTTCCAAGATTTGGATTTCTTACTACCTTTTGGGGTTATATCTAATTTGGGTGATTACTTGGGACATGACTATAAAGGGATCTTTGGTTAGGTGGTTAGGAAGGCAACTTTGACTTTTGGATTGGGGTGGCTAGAAGTTTCTAGCATAGGTTGCAAATGTTGCAACACCTAGGCAAAATCCAACTAGATTGGATTTTGCATGTGACACCTCAAGGACCTCATGATGAGGGTTGCATCCTTGCTGCTGGGAAGGTTCCTACCATCCTTCCCTAGCTCTTGGAGAACCCCTTCCCTCTCATGGTTCTCTTGGAGTCCCCAACTCCAACTTCCTATGCCCTAATGTTTGTACTTCCTTCACCACTTTAGTCATGCGGATGCTGGACGTTTTTACTTAATTCTCACTCTATAGACCATCTTAACGACTCATTCAACTTGGAGATGGTAGCTAAGCCTAAGGCGCAACTTCCTACTGAGCGGATGTGCGTTTAGTTGAGTAATGAGTTCGTCGTAAGCTCTCAAAGTGACGGATTCTGAACAAGTGGTATCAGAGCGGGTAGTCGACTTTGAGACGACAAATCGTCGTAAATTCGCAACCAATGTTGTCAAGTGAGACCATTTTCTACTATCTCTGCTTGCGAATTTTGATTGGTGGTCGAATTGCGTTCTAATTCGAATTATTTAGTCCGCGACGGCGATTTTCGTAGAATCGAAATTTCTGGCAGAATTCTCTCCAAACGATTTCTCAAGTTTCCACCGTTCATAAGGCCTCAATATGGTTGGTACAAACTCCGGAGGTGCTAGTGGCGAGATGGACAGCTCCTGAGGAGGCTCAGTAGTCAGTGTGTACAGACTCGACCCTGGCCGACGGGTGAACGTGGCTAGGTGATGGCCTGTCAGGGAGCACGTACAGATCGCCACACGCTATAATCCAGGGGTAAAGGTATCAGCCCATGCATCCTGAAGGACGGCGTTGCTCACCAAGTTCGTAGAGAAAGAGGGGAGGTGAAAACCTGAGAGTGAGCCGGACAGAACCGCCGGATACGGGAGAATAGTGGAGGAATGTGTAAGAACTGGGCCCCCTGAGGGGTCAGCCAGACTGATTGCAACAGGTGCAGGGAGTGGTGTGACTGTGGTACTGTCGCAAAAGAAACAGCGGGAAGCACATGAGTCAAGCGTGAAAGTGTGCAAGGCCGTAGCAGGCGCACTACCAGGGAGAGCAGACTCACCACCACCTAGAGCAGCAGCCTCTTTACTTGGGTTGGGTGGCACACACAGGTAACAGTCACTGTCAGCACTAATAGCAGCGCCACTCCGAAGGCGGGTGCGTCGAGCGTACCACTCACGAAGCTGCTGGGGCTTAGGGGTCTCGCGCGGACGCTGATGCTGCTGCCTCTGGCCACTGCCATAACCTCCCCTCTGAACGGCTCCACCCCGACCACCACCACTGCCGCCGACACTAGTCTCACTGCCGCCACTACCCCCACCACTACCCCCACCGCTGCCACCACTGCCGCCACGGACGCCCCCACTCCCACCACGCTACCACCGCCACCTCCACCGCCTCCACCGCCTCCACCACCACCTCCCCCACCGCCACCTCCACCATTCGTGCCTCCCGTGCCCATGCCGTTGCGACGCCTCCCACCAGACCAGACGCACCTCCGACCTCCTCAGCATGAAGGAAGTCAGCAGCAGCAGCAGAACAAGCTCAGGAGGGGTAAAGGGGGGAGGGAGAACACCCCTCAAAGAAAGAAGTGCGAGGAGTGCAACGAGCAATACCTACAGCGAATATGCTAGTCTCAGCTGCAAGGAGGTGCTTCTCGAGCAGGTCGTCAGTGAGGTCTGTGGGGTCAAGGGTGAGAATGTGGTCCTTGACTACGTGAAGAGAGTCAGGGAGGCGTATGACTATGAAGTAGAGAGTGATGTACATCAGGGGCGGGTTCTTGTCTAGGAACTCGGCTCTAAGCGTGGCGCGGTAGCGAGTGTCGCTAGTGCGAAAGGTGGGTGATGAGATCATCGACTGTAGTAAAGTCGGACAGCTCAGGAAAGAAATAGGGCAGTATAAGGCGGCTGAGAGCAGCTGTGGTAGGGGAGGAGTAACTGTCAGAACATATATATAGCTTATACTATTGTGTAGGCTGTAGTGGGGTATCCCATAGGGGGTACAGCCCAGTTAGGGTTTCCTATTTGTACTCACTTCATTCATAGTTCATTCATTCTCGTTCTATTCTCAACATGGTATCGAGCAGGTTCCCCCGCGGGAACTGTGCTAAGGGCCCACCACCTTCAAAAAAAAATTTCTGACCGGAGCGCGCTCCGGGCCCTTGCTCTCTCCTTTTTGGCCTGCCCTGCGGCCCCCTAGACGCCCGCGCGAGCCGCCCTTTGCCGCCCGCGCACCGCCCGTCTCGGCACCTAGCCGCCCGCGCCCGCCCGTTCAGGCACCTAGCCGCCCGCGCGCCGCCTGTCCCGGCCCTTAGCCGCCCACACGCCGCCCGTCAGGGCTCCTAGCCGCTCGCGTGCAGCCCGTTCAGGCCCCTAGCCGCCAGCGCGCCCGCCCGTTTAGGCCCCTAGCCGCCAGCGCGCCGCCCGTTCAGGCCTCTAGCCGCCAGCGCGCCCGCCCGATCAGGCCCCTAGCCGTCAGCGCGCCGCCCGTTCGGGCTCCTAGACGCGCACGCGCCGCCCGTTCAGGCCCACAGCCGCCCGCGCGCCGCTCGTCCCGGCCTCTAGCCACCCACGCGCGCCCGTCCCGGCCCCTAGCCACCCACGCGCGCCTGTCCCGGCCCCTAGCCGCCCACGCAACCCGTCCCGGCCCTTCGCCGCCCACGCGCGCCCGTCCCGGCCCCTCACCGCCCGCGCGCCGCCGGACCCGGTCCCGAGCCGCCCTGCGCCGCCCGTCCCGGCCGCGCTCTCCCGTCCCTGCTGCACGACGCTGTCCCGGCCCCCCACGCCGCCCGCTAGCCGCCGTGCAACCTGGGCCGCCCGAGCCGTCTCCGCAGCTGAGGAGCCGAGCCGCCCAAGCCGCCCGAGCCGCCCGCGCCGCCCGAGCCGCCCGAGCCGCCCGAGCCGCCTGCACCGCCTGAGGAGCCGAGCCGCTGGTCCTACGAGGCTGCTGTTGCTGCTGAGCCGGTTGAGCTGCTGTGTTGCTGTGCTGCTGTGCTACTGCGCTGCCCGACCCGTCCTGTCTGGTGAGACCGTCTACTGCTGTCATGGCTACCCCTAGTGTCCTCGCTTTTGACGCTGAGGGTCGCGCCATTGACTTTGAGGTCTGGGTCGACGACTTGCAGCTGTTCTTGCAGTGCGATAGAGCAGTCGACCTTTCTCTCTTTGACCTCACTTCTGGCGCCTCTCCTGCCCCTGCTGCTGATGCTGATCCCACTGTGCGCTCTCAGTGGGCTACCCGCGATGCTGCTGCACGTCTTGCTGTGCGTCGCCACCTCCCTACCTCTGAGCGCGCGCACTTTAGTCAGTACAAGAGTGCTCATACCTTGTACGACGCTGTAGTTGCGCGCTACTCTTCCCCTGCCACTGCTGCACTGAGCCGTCTCATTCTTCCCTACCTCTTTCCTGACCTCTCTGCCTTTCCCACTGTCGCTGACCTCATTACGCACCTCCGCACAAGTGACACTCGCTACCGCGCCGCCCTTCCTGCTGAGTTCTGCGCCAAGAACCCCCCCCCCATGTACATCACTCTCTACAACGTAGTCGCGCGCCTCCCTGACTCTCTTCGCATAGTCAGGGACCACTTTCTCGCAGTCTGTCCCACCACCCTCACTGTCGACCTCCTCGAGAAGGCCCTCCTCGCGGCGGAGAAGAGCATCGTCGCTGTAGGAGCTTCTCGGGGTGACCCTCGCACCCCCATCTTTGAGGGGTGCTCTCCTTCCCCCCTACTGCCCTCTGTTGCCTCTGCTGCTGCTGCCGACCTGCTTGGTCTTGAGTCGGTCGGGGCGGCGTCTGCCCCTAGTGGGCGACGCCGCTCTGGCAAGGGCAAGGGGGGCAAGGGCGCGGGTGGAGCTGGAGGGGGCGGTGGAGGTGGCGGTGGAGGCGGCGGAGGGAGTGGGGGTGGCGGCGGGAGTGGTGGAGGGGGTGGTGGTGGTAGTGGTGGCAGCGGCGGCGGAGGTGGCGGAGGTGGCGGCAGCGGTGGTGGTGGCGGCAGCGGTGGCGGTGGAGGCGGTGGAGGAGGCGGAGGAGGAGGCGGTGGTGGCGGAGGGGGTGGAGCTGGTCGGGGTGGTACCCAGCAGCGGAGCGGCGGTGGTGGTGGTCAGCGCCCGCAGCAGCAGCAGCAGCAGCGTTCGCGGGACATCCCTCCGCCCCAGCAGCTCCGTGAGTGGTACGCTCGGCGTCAGAGGGGTGGGGGTGCCGGTCCGTGTGCCTACGTCCTTCGTTCCGGCGACCGCGCGGGTGAGCAGTGTGGGGGTGCCCACCCCACCCAGCGCTGCTTTGGCCGCCTGACGGACGCTTGGAGTCAGCAGTTCCCCGAGGCTAGTGAGATCCCCCGCTGGGATGAGCTTCTTAGGGCTGGTGTAGCGATCTTTGATCTTGACTTTGATGCTATCCTTGCTGCTATGTATGCTGTGACTATTAGTGAGGAGGGTGACTGTTACCGGTGTTTCCCGCCCGACCCGGGCATTGGTACTGCTGCGCTAGGTGCTTGTGAGGCTGCTGCTCTAGGTGCCAGTGCATCTGCGCTCTCAGGTACTGGTGAGACTGCGCTCTGAGGTACTGCGTCGCCTTCGTCCTCCCTCACTTTCACACTTGACTCCGGGGCTTCTCGCTCCTTCTTTCAAAACCGCACCACCCTCACGCCGCTTGGCCGGCCGGTTGCGGTATCCCTGGCTGACCCCTCTGGGGGTCCTGTCCTCTCTCACTTTTCCACTGTCCTCCCGTGTCCGGCTGCCCCCTCGGGCACCCTGTCTGGTCTGTACCTTCCCTCGTTCTCGACGAACTTGGTGAGTGGTGCGGACCTACAGGATGCAGGGGTTCACCAGTTCACTCCTGCGAGTCAGCGGGTGACCCACTGCACGGACGCACGCACAGGCCGGCACCTGGCCACGTTCTCGCGTCGGCCGGGGTCGAGCCTCTACACCCTGACCACTACGTCTCAACCTGTCCCTGCGTCTGGTCAGGTAGCTGCGTCAGGTCAGGTGTTTGCTGCTGCGTCCCAGTCTGGCCCTGAGTCTGCCCCCTGTTCGTGTCGCCTCCTGTCTCACGAGACCCTCCTGTGGCACCACCATCTGGGCCACCCCTCCTTGCCCCGTCTTCGGAGCATGGCTTCCCGTGTCCTTGTCTCTGGTCTTCCCCAGTCTCTCCCTCCCCTTCCTTCAAGGCCAGGACCTTCCTGTGTCCCCTGTGTCGAGGGGCGCCTCCGGGCTGCTCCTCACTCCTCCCAGTTCCCCCCGACAGAGGCTCCTCTGCAGACACTTCACATGGACGTGTGGGGCCCAGCCCCCGTCCGTGGGCAGGGTCATGAGCGCTACTTCCTGTTGGTGGTTGACGACTACTCGCGTTACACCACGGTCCTCCCCTTGCGCAGCAAGGGTGCTGTCACTGAGGCGCTGATCGACTGGATCCGCGAGGCTCGTCTCCAGCTCAGGAGGAGCTTCGGCTCGGACTTTCCTGTTCTGCGTCTGCACTCGGACAGAGGCGGGGAGTTCTCCTCTCGCCTTCTGCGAGACTACTGTCGTGCACGGGGGATCCGCCAGACCTTCACGCTTCCGGACTCTCCACAGCAAAATGGGATTGCTGAGCGCCGCATTGGCATGGTCATGGATGTCGCTCGTACGTCCATGATGCATGCGGCTGCCCCCCATTTTCTGTTGCCGTTTGCGGTTCGGTACGCGGCTCATCAGCTCAACCTTCACCCCAGGGTCCCTCGGCCTGTGATGTCCCCAGTCTTGCTGTGGACGGGGAAGGTTGGCGATGCGTCTGCGTTCCGTGTCTGGGGATATCGGGCGTTTGAACGCGACTTGTCTGCGGACAAGCTGTCCCCTCGTGCTGCTCCCTGTGTCTTCCTTGGCTTCCCCCCTGACGCTCCAGGGTGGCAGTTCTACCACCCCTCCTCTCGTCGTGTTCTGTCCTCCCAGGACGTCACGTTCGACGAGTCAATCCCCTTCTACCGCCTCTTCCCCTACCGCACTCCTTCCCTTCCCCCGCCACCGGACTTCCTTGTGCCGGTTCCCCCCCCGGTAGACCCCCTCCCACCTCAAGTTCCTGCCCCCTCAGGTGTGTCCCAGGTAGACGCAGTTGACCCGGTCGAGGTTACTAGTGACTCTGGTGCTGCTGCGGGTGCTGAGCCTGGGGGTGCTGACTCTGGGGGTGCTGTGCCTGGGGTGCCGAGCCTGGGGGTGCTACTGCGGAGGGTGCTGGGCCTGGGGGTGCTGAGCCGGGGGGTGCTGTGCCTGGAGCTGCTGAGCTTGGGGGTGCTGAGTCTGGGGGTGCTGAGTCTGGAGCTGCTGAGCCTGGGGGTGCTGGGTCTGGAGCTCCTGAGCCTGGGGGTGCTGCGTCTGGGGCTGCTGAGCCTGGGGTTTCTCCTGGTGCTGCGTCTCGGCGGGAGCCCCTCTCTCCACAGGAGCTGCGCGAGTGGTTTGCTCGCCGCTGGAGGCGTACTGCCGGAGCTGGAGCTTCTTCGACCGTCGAGGGTGCTGGTGCCGCCGGTCCTGGAGCTTCTGGGCCTGCGGGTCCTACTTGAGCTGGAGCTGCTGGAGGTGTTGGTGCTGAGACTCCAGCTGTCTGTCCTGGAGGTGGTTCTGCTGCTGATGCTGCTGGAGGTCCTGCCGCTGAGGGTGCTGGTGCTGTCCCTGCTGAGCCTAGAGCTGCCGAGCGGCCTCGGCCGTACTTCGTTCCGCTCCTTCAGCAGGTTCTTGGTCTTTCTCCTCCGGTAGAGTGTCCACAGCCTGTCCAGTCGCAGTCACTGTTGGAGCCTTCCTCCCCACT